CCAGTGCAGCGCCTTCAACCCAGCCTTGACTTCATTGATTTATGTATGCAAGCAGAGTCACGTGGGACCAGTTTGTCCAGACCGTACAATCCAAACTGCAAAGGGGGGAGGTGTTTGAATCTACCACTCTCTGAAGAAAATCTTTCCTGCATCTAGAAAACCAGCTTGTCAGGGAACTGGGTATGATTTAGAATAACAGAATCAGACTCTTGGTCCATCAAGGTCAGTATTGTCTACTCAGACTGGCAGCAGCTCTCCAGGGTCTCAGGCAGAGGTCTTCCACGTCACCAACTGCCTGATCCTTTTTAGCAGGAGATCCTGGGAATTGAACCTGGGACCTTGAGCATGCCAAGCAGACGCCCTACCACTGAGCTATGGCTCCTCTCCATGGCACTCCAGGGTCTCAGGTGGAGATCTTTCACATCACCTGTTACTTGATCTTTTTTAACTAGAGATGCCGGGGATTGAACCTGGGACCTTCTGCATGCCGGGCAGAGGCTCTACCACTGAGCCACGGCCCATCTTCCCTCCCCGTTAATCTGCTTTCCCCTTGATTACACAAAACCTGCTGACTCACAGCCGAATGTTTGAATCGGCTTCCCAAACGAGGCCTGTTTCCAAGATGTTTAAAAAGGTAAAGGTTCCCTTGCTCGAAAGCCAGTCGAGTCCGACTCTAGGGTTGCGGTGCTCATCTCCGTTTCAAAGCCGAAGAGCCAGCGCTGTCCGAAGACGTTTCCGTGGTCATGTGGCCGGCATGACTAAACACCAAGGCGCACGGAACGCTGTTACCTTCCCACCGAAGTGGTACCTATTTATCTACTTGCAATTTCTTGCTTTCGAACTGCTAGGTTGGCAGGAGCTGGAACTAGAGACGGGAGCTCACTCAGTCATGCGGCGCATTCGGGTCTCGAACTGCTGAACTACCGACCTTCCACAGCCTGCAGTTCAGCGTCTTAAGCACTTAACCACTTGAGCCAAGATCGGGTCTCGAACTGCTGAACTACCGACCTTCCACAGCCTGCAGTTCAGCGTCTTAACCACTTAACCACTTAACCACTTGAGCCAAGATGTTTAGGAGGCAGAAAACAGGTCATGGGGTATTTAATCTGGGGTGGTTTATTCACACATGCAAGACACCCCTTTCTATCTACATTTTAAAAAAATGTGAATATTTGCATCCAAGGAGCTTCGAGCGGCTTCCAGGAGGTTAGCTCATCTTTTCTACCCGCAACCCTGTGAGGTAGATTTAGACTGAGAGGTCGTGGTCAGTCGGAGATCACACAGAAAGCTCTATGGCTCAGAGCAGGATCTGAATCCATATGTCCCCTGCTCAAAGCCAGCCTGCTTTCCGCTACGCCGAGGTGACTCTTGATGCTTCCAAGTCAAAGAAGAACAAGAAGAGGAGCAGGAGATTCAATTTCTACCCCGCCCTTCACTACCCGAAGGAGTCTCAGAGTGGCTTACAATCTCCTTCCCCTTCCCCTCCCCACAACAGACACCCTGCGAGGTAGGCGGGGTTGAGAGAGCTCTTTCGAGGACTGCTCCTGAGAGAACAGCCCTGAGAGAACTTGTGAGTGGCCCAAGGTCACACCAGCAGCTGCGTGTGGAGGGGTGGGGAATCAAACCCGGTTCTCCCAAATTAGAGTCCGCGCTCCTAACCACTACGCCAAACTGATGTGAACCTGCTCCCGCCTCCCATAGTAGACCCAGTGTGGATTTTGAGAGCGGCCGGTGGACCAGAATGGAGGGCCGTCTCCCTTGCCCGGCAGCTCTGCCTCGTTTCCTCACCATCAACATCTCTGTGGTCTGCCGCGCCGCCTGATCATTCTCCGCACGGATCCTGAGATCATCTTGGTACTGTTTGCAGTTCATGTTTTCGTGAATAGCCTGCAGACAAGACAGCGATTGGGAACCTGGTTTCTCATCTCCCTCACCTCGACTGTGGTCGTTTGGCACCCTAAAATCGGAACCCAATACCTCACTGCCTCTTAGCAGGCTGCCCCCCACCAGGGGCCCCATTTAGGCAGAGTGAGGTGGCTGATTTGGGACCAGTGTTCCCTCTAAGCTGAGTGAGTGTGAGCTAGCTCGCAGTTTTTTGTTTGCAGTTCATGTTTTCGTGAATAGCCTGCAGAAAAGACACCGATTGGGAACCTGGTTTCTCATCTTCCTCGCCTCAACTGTGGGCGTTTGGCACACTAAAACCTCACTGGTTCAAGTAGAATTTTTGCTCACAAGACTCTGCAGCTTAGAGGGAACATTGTTTGGGACACCGTGAAAAGGGCAAATGGTCAGTCGCTATTGTCCAGAAATTCCAACACAAGTATCAAAGTGTCTCAGGCCAGCCACTAGCGAAGGAGGAGGAGGGGATTGGATTTACACCCCACACTACCCCCGAAGGAGTCTCAGAGCAGCTGACAATCTCCCTTCCCCTCCCCGCAACAGACACCCTGTGAGGCAGGGGGCTGAGAGAGCTTTTTCAAGGACTGCCCTTGAGAGAACAGTTCTGAGAGAACTTGTGACTGACCCAAGGTCACACCAGCTGCTGCACATGGAGGAGTGGGGAATCAAACCCGGTTCTCCCAGATCAGAGTCCGCGCTCCTAACCACTACACCAAACTGGCGCCCCTCAACGTATTTAAGCTGCTGTCCTACACGCAAGGCCGCATCCATGTACTCCATCCCAAGTTCATCTGCCCCCGTTCTGGTACGCACAGTCTTCCCTTTACCAATAACCACACATTCAGAAGGCTGCGACTTTCAATCTAGAAAAGACAAAATAAATGCTAATGTAGCATTTTTTCAATTTTTCCGAAAATTGAAGCTCGGAAAACGGGGTTTTTTCCGAGCTTCAAAATTTCCAGAAATTTTACATCTCTAGTCTGTCCTTATATCTTGGAGACAGGTGGACTCAGATTCTAGCTGTAACTGAAGAAGTGAGCCATGACACACGCAAAGCTCCTCCCCTGCCACAAACTGTGTTAGTCTTGAAGGTGCTAAAGTACTTTTGCTCTCTTCTCCTACTACAGACAGACTAACACGGTGACCCATCTTGACCTATCAAGAAACGCTGCCAGAAAACTCACTTGAGGTACACACACAATGCTGCCTTCTACTAAGGTCAGTATTGTCTACTCAGACTGGCAGCCGCTCTCCAAGCTATCAGGCAGAGGTTGTCAGGTAGCCCTGTCATAGGTCTGGTATGTGGAGGGGTGCCCTCCCGTTTTCTGTCTCAGCTCTCCCAGACTCACCAACTATTTGCTATCTTATGCTTGACCTTGTAGATGCTCCAGCTGCAGTTTTACTCAGCTGGGAAAGTTAACGGCTTTTGCTTTGCCTGCTTGCTTTGCCCGCGCACCCAAGATGTATCTATTGGCTCATGCTTACCAGGGGGGATGTTTGATTCTAGTATAAGTCAGAGGCCCTAGTATTGGCAGCCGGCCATTCCTGACACAAGCTGTACATGTGTCTCTAGTTCTGGATTTACCAATAAACAGTTATCTTCTCATGAAGCCCTGTGTTGCGTAACCTGACTAAGGACCCGGACAGAGGTCTTCCACATCACCTACTGCCTGGCCCTTTCAACTGGAGATGCCGGGGATTGAACCCGGGACCTTCTGCACGCCAAGCAGAGGCTCTGCCGCTGAGCCACGGGCTCCCTCACCTTGCAAAGGAGGCAGTTCACCTTCAGGCACACGGGACACGGAAACTCGTTCACGTCGTCCTCGAAGAAGCACCAGCCCCGGCAGTCTGTGGTCTTGCAGTGGTAGCTGCCGCGGCTACGATTCTCAGCCACCGAGATGCCCAGGTCCAGGAAGCGCTGGTATTCCGCTGGGCTCAGGAGCTGCGGACCAAGCCCAGGGTAGCTCAGAGAAGACTCGGGGGGGGGGGAGATCTGTACCTCCCCAGCCCCAAAATAACTGCCTGTGGACTCTTACCCATGGGCTTCCATGGGAAGCTACATATTAAATGGTTGGACACCGTTTGGAACACATGAAGCTGCCTTGTAATGAACCAGAACCTCGGTCCATCAAGGTCAGTATGGTCTACTCAGACTGGCAGCAGCTCTCCGGGGTCTCGGGCAGAGGTCTTTCCCATCACCTACTGCCTGGTCGTTTTATCTGGAGATGCCGGGGATTGAACCTGGGACCTTCTGCATGCCAAGCAGATGCTCTTCCACTGAGCCAAGGTCTCAATCAGTGTCTTTCCCATCACCTACTGCCTGGCCCTTTTTAACTGGAGATGCCGGGGATTGAACCTGGGACCTTCTGCATGCCAAGCAGAGGTTCTCCCGCTGAGCCATGGTCCATGGGTCTTTC